TCTTTCAAGAAAATTTTATGAAAAAAAAAAAAAATTTAAAAGCAAAGACTTACATTTTTCTAGATATTGACATCAGCTGCTAAACTTAGGATTACGTCAAAGTGGTCGTTCCCATCCACTGATCAAAAGTTCATCTTTGATAGGTAAATTCACGTGTCTCATGCTCCCACTACACTATACGACAAATACTTCTTTCTTTTCATCTGTCAATTTTTTTTCTAATATTATTAAAAACATGTATTTTTTTTATAAAAATAACATCAATATATAAAAAATAATTATTATATAAAAATAACTATATTATATATTAAATATTATTAATTAAATTTAAATTTAAAAAAATAAAATTTATTTTTTAAATAAGTTTACAATTTTATGTTTAGATGTTTCTAAATTTAAATTATTTTTTATATTTTAATATTAAAATACATAAAATATTAAAATAACTAATTAATTTATTACAAATAAAAATTTTTATATTAATATTTTATATTACAATATTACAATATACATATTAATTATTGTAATAACAGATAAAAAATACATTTTTATTTATTATTTTTTTAACTTTTGTTCTTATATCTTCTTGATTAAAACAAAAAAAATCTTATAGAAATATAAAAATAAAAAATCTGAAATTAAAATATAAAAATTTATAATTTTTATAAGATAAATGGTGAAAGAAAAAAAATATAAGAGTGAAAAAATATAAAAATAAATAAAAAATAGAAATATAAAAAAATAGAAGAATGGCTTATAAAAATTATAATAATAAAATAAAATGTAAAAAAAATCTGAAAAAAAATATATATATATATATATATAATTATAATTATATAATAAGATAAATATGATATTTATTATAAATAAAAAGTTAAAAAATTATTTATATGTATAATATATATATATATATATATATATATATATATATATATATATATATATATATTTTTTTTAAATATAAAAAAGAAAACTGATTTGGGATTGTCGGGCGGTGACCCTGTAGGCCCTTGTTTCCGCCTCTTTTGATACATCTACTTAATAAGTTTAAATATTAATATAATATTATATATATATATATATATATATATATATATATATATATAATTTAATTAATAAAACGGTTGTTAGATTAGAAAGGTCTTGGAATGTCTTAATCCATCATTTTCGTTCTTTTATTGTCTTAAATAGATTTTTATCTTCTTATAATTTGAGAATTTTTTGATATTTTATTTTTTTAATATTAAAAATTTAATTCCATTCATTTTTTTTATCTAAATATTATTTATCCAACTGTTTAAGTTTTTTATCGATTTAACCAGTTAATAAAACTGAAATGATTTTATAAGGTATAGTATTGCACTTTAAAGATAATATAATTTTTATTTATATATATTTTGATATCTTAATCTATGTTTTTTAATAAAATATGATATATTTTTTAAATAAATAATAATTAAAGGTTTTAGGTGAAATTAGAGAGAGAAAAAGATGTTCCGTATTATTTAATAAGACTATATACGTTTCATTTTATAATAAACTAGTGAAAACATGTCTTAAAGCGTTTATACAGAGTATAATTAATTTTTTAAAATTTATTTTATTCTATTTTATTTCTAAAATTATTGTTTTCATTATTTACATATTATATATTTTTTCTTTTTTATATTTATTATTTTTTAAATATATAAATCATAAATAATAATAATAAACATAATTATTCATGAATTCAATACCGGTTACATAAAATCATCTTTATAATAATTATGAAACTGTGAAATCTGTTAGTAAGGTATTTACGATCCACATCAATGTTTAAAATTTAAATATACTATATAGTTGACATAAAATTATTTAAAAATAATTCATTTATATGTGTTTAGTTTGACGAGGACACACGCTACTATGGACAATCTTTTAACTAACATTAAAAAATTCCTAATTATAATCTAATATATATATATCCAATTTTTATATTTTTATTTTATTTTCAATTAATATAATGGACCTTCATATTTAGAAATTAAAAAAATATATACATTTCAATTACAAATCAACAGCACCAAGTCACACTCATATTTTATAATATCTCGAATCGAATTGTTCACAAACATACCATAAAATTGACCTGACCAATGAAATTTGGGCAGCATATGATGGCGAAAGGTGTTAATTTTTTATTAGACAAAGGAATTAAAGAAAAATAAAAATATGAAGAAACAGCATTATAAATTTCTCAACCTTTACTTCACTTCAAATTTTTTTTTCTCATCTCACTCTAATAAACATAATATCTATTAAACACCACGACATAGGTTATCAAGCATGTCACATCTTTAGAAATTTGAGAATAATTTTCGAAAACAACGGTGACAATGAGATATAATTAAATTTATATATGTCAAACAAACTATTTAAATTTCTCGACATTTTAATAATTCAACATTTTCAAAATTTAATGCAATATATTATGAATTATATTTTCATTTTTACCTAACAAAAGTATGCATTTACTATAACATAAAATGAAAAAAAATCTTATATTTAATTTATTAAGACTAAGATAATTTATTAACTTATTTGATTTTTTGTTAAAAAAAAAAACTTAAAATGACACATAAAACCGAATAGAAGAGTATATATATAAACAACTGTTAATTTGATTTTTTTTAATTAATAATTCTTTTTTATAAAGTCAATTTGAAGGAAATGTGTTGTTTTTAGCTAAATTGTGTAATTTATTATCATAATAACTTAATGGGATGATATAAAAACTTTTATATAAAGCGAAAGATATGAAATTATTGGATTAAAGTCTTGATGTAGTAATTTTGTTTTATGTATTTTTAATAGAAAATATTTTACTTCGAGAAAGTTAAATTCTCACCTTTTACATAAAATATTTCTCTAAAAAATTTGACAAAAAAAATTTCAGAAAATATTGTTTAATGGTGGTGTTATTTATTATTTTAAAAAAATGAGATAAGAGAAGCATTTATCGACTCAAGATTTTTGGAAATCTTTTTACTTTTTCTGCGTAACGTTATCTAGTTTATAAAAGTAATAAATAATATGAAGTTTTTGTTAAGAAGTGTGATATTTAATGTGATTATTACATTATATAATGAAGTTTCTAGTGTTATTGATCCATTTTGTTGTTATTTGAATGAACATCATCATAAAAAGTTAAATATTTTTATCATTTAAATCTTGGATTGGTTCTTATTTGATGATCATCACAATGAATGGAGGAGAGAGGCGAGAGAACGGGGACAAAGATTATTTGGTTTGGGAGGGAAAATTCCAAAAGGTGGAAGTGGAGAAATGAAGTTGTGTCCATATTTGTTGGTATGATTAAACCATTTATTGCTTGTCTCTATATTCTTTGTCAAAGCACATACTGCAGGAATATATATACGTCCACATTAATAAATAAAGAGACAGTGAGTGTAATTGAGTAAAGTTATTTGAAAAAAAAAATATTTAAGAAAAAATATTCAACCTTTCACACGTGGTCAAAAAAGTAAAGCGGTGTTAGTTAAGAAAAGTAGAGGGGTGTTTTTAACTGAAAGATGATTTGTAGAAATAGAACGAGTGTTTGTAACTAAAAGAAAAATAAAGAGTAAATTATACCTATATATATATTTTAAGTTAATTTATACCTGTGTTCTTACAAAACTTTCTAATTATTTTTCACGTATAATATTGGATATATGAAAACTTTATGATTATATTATCTATCACCTCTATACTTTTGTAAATTATAGCAAATACCTCCCTATTAATTTTATTATTATATTACTTATATAAATTATACATATGTTTTGTATATAGAGTTAATAATTTATTTTAACTAATGTAATATTTTTTAAATTTAATATTTTATTAATAACAATTTCTTAATATAAATATATTATTTTATTTATTAAATTTAATAAACGGTTCTATTTAGTAAATATAATTAATGATGTTATATAAGAAAAATATTAGGACATGTATAAGTAATATTTTAATAGAATTAATATAGAGCGTAATTCATGAAAAATACAAACATCATCATGGCATTAAGACTTAACGACACATTTTGACAACATGTATTAAATAGAGGGTAACTGGAGGATCGCTCCGCCACCACCGCCTTGCCGGTGTCGCTCTCCAGCGGCAACCACCGCATCGGGAAAAAGAGTGGTAGCCTTGCTAGAATCAGACAGAGCACAGTACCAAGAACCGATAGCGAGGGTCAGTTTTGTAAAATCACGGTGATCATATTATCTTTCGTCTCTTTTCTTCCCAACAACATGCAGAAAGATATCAGATTTTCACTCACCCCTCTTTCTTCGCACATCCTCCCATTTCTACATCCAAACCTCAACTTTCTTCTCAAATCTTTCGTTTTCTTTCGTCTCTATCCACCAATTTACTCAAAGAAACAGCGTTATTGCCTCTTTCTCGTTGCCTCCTAAGAAGAACTTTCGTTCTTTAATCTCCATCATACAAAGTAAAACCCACAGCACCTTATGATTGTATTTGTCAAATCCTACTTTTTTATTCAGTATTTCTAATTTCTAGTATATAACCAAATTTAATAACAATAGTGATATAATAGTATATAAAAAAAATTTAAATTTTTTATTCTTATCATAATATGAAAATGAGTTGTTGAATGGATATTTGAATAAAAAAGATGTCAAAGAAAGTATTTTCCTTTTCTATTTACACGCAAAGATAAAGATAATTTAATAATATGCAATAGCTGATCTTACACGCAAAAATGATACTTCACCAATACTATTGAATTAGTATCTATGTGTATAATATTGGTAGACACATTGTTATTGCAAAATAATTATTGTGTCTATGCTGGGGAAAATGTCGCTTACGATGAAATTAGGAAATGAGAAAGGAAGAAGGAAAATCAACTCTTTGTATAAAATGTAATTCAAGAGATCTACATCAATAAACAATCACATTAGAAAGCTTGATTTACATGCACTAAGTCATCATCCGTCATTTTCATTTTGGTTGAGGGGGCGCTTCATTTTGAGAAGATGGGAGAGTCCTGCAATAACATGTAAACGACTACTCGGAACACCTGTCTTTGCCAGGGCCTTGCCATTGTTGTCAAGAAGCACAAAACAAGGAACATAGCTAACATCATAATTAAGGAGCTGCAATAAGAACATTTAAAACAAGTCAGCAAGAAGTAATAATGGAACAAAATGGATGCTCCAGACTGAGATTAGACAAATAAATAACATATTCAATTATTTGTACAACATTATCCTTTAGGTACCAGGAGATACAACACAAACACCAAAATGAAAGTAATGCAATAATGCTTGAATTATTTATTAAGGAAATTCAAGTAACTAGATTTCATGTTACACATAATTTCTACTGTTTCCATCAAGAAAAGGATAAAGACCTCAAGTATCTTTATTGAAAATGTTACCTTTTAATTAAAATGTAATGTTCTTCCTGCACCCTTCCTAAAGAGATGATATGTTCCTTACCAGAACCGTCATCTCAAGTTTCACAAAGGAATATGTCGAAATGAAACATTCCTATAAAAATCAGATACATTGAAGGACATATATGAAAATGGACCTAGAAAGTAAGGTTTTGAACTTGTAGGCTGAAGTGTGATCCTAGGATGGGTCTGTCTATTTGAATAACTTCCGGCGTGTTGCTCATTCATAAATTTTTAATAGTATATGCTGATAATTGAGATGTCCAAGAAATAAGCTAACAGTAGAAAGGTAAGGTTAAACATGGAAGCAGCATTTGTTACAATGCATGCTGTTCATGATCCAAGACAGATACCGTGTCAAGGCCAATTTAAGCAGCAGCTGGAGTTCAAATAAAACTGGCATGGTTTGTTTGCATGCAGAGGTAATTCTGAAAGAATGAATAAAAATAAAAAGCTAAAAGTTACTCGGATGAAGACTCAAGAATACAATACTTCTTCAAAGGGATATATTGACAATCACATTTGAAGAAATCAAATTGAAAAACACGTCTGCATCTTGAAGAGGAAAAAAAAAATGGCTTGGAGCAGGAGACAGAGTCACAGAACGTAAACCCAACGGCTTAGTCAGGTGAGCCCAAATGTGGTTCAGCAAACTTACTCAAGGGAAGGCGATAACATGACTAATTATCATATTACGTTTTGCTAAAACCCCATGTCCCATTCAATTCTTCCTAAGGACCAAATTGATATGTAAGTTTATACACAACAATTAAAGAAACAAAACAATATAGAAACAAAGTAAATTTATTATATTCTTCATAATCCAATGGCATATAAAACCAATTTCCATAATACAAAACAACATAGCTAACATCATAATACTAATACGGTTGCATGGCTACATGGGTATTGTCCATACTACTTTCGGACAGTTATTGTAGAAGTATTATATTATCTTCTATTAGTCTTTTAGTTCCTACTTATGCAAACTATTTTATTAATTTATATAGCCAGAATTAGATCTATTCCAATGGAGAAATTATTTTTATTAACGGTTTCTGCTTAGAAAGGGGTTTAATTGCTGTAACTGGATTTGATTTTTCGCAAACTGTATTAGGTTATCTTTTATTTTTCCTAGCGGCTTGTCAGAAGAACAACCTTCTTAGCTCTCTCTCAGATATACTTGTTCATCCTTTTCTCTCTGTCTCCTCCGTTTTACTAAATGGTCATTATTTCTACAACAATCTAGTAACAGAAATAAAGTTAATCAGTAACAGTCAGAGCATCATGTACTCTTGTATGCAAAAATGTCCCTTGGATTACCCAAGCCTGAGAAATAACTCGGATAAGCAGAATGTTGATGCAACTTATGCAACTGAACAGAAACCTTTGCTGAGATCAAGTTTGATCCATGTGGAGATTCTCAAAGGTGAGCACAAACCAAACAAGATTCTATTTCTGAAAGGTAAAACTAAGCAAATAAGGAACATTTTTCTCCTTAGGACATCTAAATAACAATCAAACTTCCTGAAGGTACTACTCGATTATATTTCTCCACCAGCAAATGATGTCTCTCAGGATAGTATTTGAAGAATAACGGCAGATCTGAAACCACCAGTAAGAAGAAACTGATAAAATGGGACGAGAAAAAATCTTTATTTTAATGAATAAACTCTCTGATTGGTACAAAGGAATGACAACAGAATGATATAAAACTATGATTCTCTCCCAATTTCCACTCCAAACTCCAAGAATAATATCTATTCCTTTTATTTCTGTTATTTCTGTTCATACCCAATCATCTGCTTATCTAAATAACTGTTGCAACTAACACATGCTAACCCACTTTTTATTTGGGTGCCTGCAAGAAGAAACTATAGGTTTTCAAGTAGATCATGCTTTAATTCTTTAAGAGCATAACAATGAAAATAATAATCACTTGAGCAGTCAAGAATCTACCAATTGATGGGATTTTGTTATAGAGGATGAATTGAAAAATATAGATATTCCACAGGATAATGTTTAAACTGAAGATGTAAACTTAAAGAACTTTCTCAAAGTATTATTCAATCAATCACATTATTGTCATTGGGTATGGTCAGTTGCATTCAGACTTTGTTCATAATTTAGAGTATACCCTTACTCTATTATTATCTGAGACTAGAAGGGTTGATCACTTCAGTCCTTAACTTTATAAACTCTCACCTTAGTCCCTCACTATGCAAAACATAATTCAGTTTAGGACAATTAGAAAACCCAGAAACTAAAAAATAAACTTCTAGAATAAAAAATATGGAAGACATCTATAACTTTAATTTATTTTTAATATATCCCTAAGCTCATTTTAGTTTGTGAAAAAGTTTATTTCATTCTTTTTTTACCAATGCACATACAAGTTTATTCACGCAAGTTCTTCTCCAACCGTTAATGATATTTTGCAAAGTGATGGATTTAAGTGAATTTCATAACTTGCAATCTCAGGACTAAAGTGGGGATCCTTTTATGCAAAAGAAAGCACCTCAGGTAGCCAATTGGGATTCTCAGCGTCGGCCATGACAATATTGAGCCAGTGAGAGTTCCTGGTTTCGACTTCGGAAACAAAATTGAGTAAGGAGTTGCAGAGCCTGCACTTGGGCGAGTAGAACTCCACCAAAGTCGCCTCCTTCCCACTCGCCAGAGCCGAAGCAAACGCTCTTTGCTCTGCCTCCGACTGTGCCAGATTCGTTTTCTTCATCCGAGTTGAAACAGAGCTGGCAAAATTGAAAGCGATCAAACCAAGGTTTTGGAGAGACTTCAATGGCCAAGGACCCTCAAACTTGCAGGGACTAGGGCTAGAGTTAGGGTTTTCTTCATTCCATGGCCATTTTAGGCAAAACATAGTTTGTTTAGGTTTAGGTTTAGGATTTGAATTAGGAATCAAACTCATTTCGCTTCCGGAATCGAAAACAGCAAGAAATGACTGTACCACTGTTACAAAACATCAAACCACTCAATACTGTAAATAACGTTTCATTTTAGTCCTATTCCTTCTGTAATCTCTTTTATTCAAGTTTAGTTTAACAATTTTTTAATTATAATAGTCACATTTTCCGTCATTTTACTCTTGTATAAATTTCTTAAGCTTTTATTTTTATTCAAACTAACATGTTAACGTTTTTTTTTGTGAGCAACTAACATTTTAAGTGTTACAAGAGTATACATTTTCATATATAATTATTAAATTTTATAAATTAAATATCTTAATACTCAAATAATTCATCAAATAACAATGTTGAGGTCAAATTAAATCTTTAAAATATTTTATAGGTGTATGTAATTAAAAAAACAAATTGATGTATACTTTATATGGATTAATTGTTTGTTAACTTTTCATTTGATAGAAAGAAAAAAATATAGAAAAGGAATGAAAAATAAAAATAAAATAAGTAAAAAAATAAATGAAAATAAATTTTTTAAAGTGAGAAAAAAATACTTATTATAATGTTATTTTAATTGACTTTTTATTATTTTTATATCATTGTTATTTGATTATAAGTGGTTTTAAAATTGAAAATCTCTTCCAACTTTCATGTCATCTTTTTCTGTTTTTACACCCCCCCAATATCTACTTCTAACTTCTCACTCAGGGTTCTGCTGCACTCCTGCTTGGTGCATGCAAGTTTATAACGTGGAGTAGTAGTTAAAAAAAGTCAAGTTTTTATGTCGTGAATCCATAGTATCTCCCCACCAATTTTTCTGACATCAAGGCTGTCTACAATTCAGCAGTTAAAACAACCAGACAAATCATTAACAGGAACAAGGCCAAGGAAACACTGCCAATACTTCAAGACATACAACAAAAAGGCAAATTCTTCTCTTGTATCGTAACTCACAGGCTTAAACATAATCATAATGCTTTACAGTTTGCAAATTGCACTCAACAACCCTCATAAGCTTTCTCAGAACCACTTTATGAAAAAGTTAAAAAATGAAGCATGCTACTGACCAGTATCAAAAATGCGTACAATCCATTTCATCAGTTTATAAAGTCCACAAGCCGGAAATCACATCAAGTGTAGACAGAGCTATTAATTACAAGAACTGACTCCATTAATCAATATGCTAATGCAAAATAAGAAGTACAAGTTTGCAACCTGAACTCCACCACTCCATATGAAAAAAAATTCATCAATTGCAGAACACTCGGTAATAAAAGCTCTCTATTCTAGGAATAAAAGCTATAAGAATTGTTGGCTTTATCAAAAGGATATTATGTGCTAGAAAGAAACATCCTCCAGATGATTTGCCATTCAATAAAGAAAGGAAGAGATCTTTTAGTTAATTAAGAAAGACAAAAAACAAGAAAAAATATACTATGCTATTCACAAAGTAAACACCACATTGTTAATTTGGTTAATAGGTTCCACCATTTGTACCAGGAAAGTGAAAAGAGTAAACCCCATAGCAAAATGAGTTTGCTCTCAACAAGAAAACAGCATTGTAATAACGCAAACTAAAATAAGAAGGTAGCTAGATATCTGGAGTCGAGACTGGTCCTAGATAATCCCCTTCCAAACTGACCAATGCCTGAAATTCCCTATCTGCCTCCATCCACTTGGTACCTATCACTGAAAAGCGCACTGTGACATCTTTTCCAATTTTTGACAGTTTGTCATTCATGAAGCATGGGTTCTCACCAGGAACATATCGGTAATCAGGCATCTTCAGATGTGAGAGATAGACATTCTCAATTGGACCACATCTCATGAAAACTCCATGCTTTAGAACCTTGTGGACAACACCCTCTAGTATCTCTCCCTTGAAAATCTTGAAGGTAATGGCATTAAAAACAATGGGAAAGAGCACATCCCCAGTATGTTGTCTGACCTTTCCTTCCCCTATTTTATCCAGTGTGGTCACAGCAAGAAAGTATCCAAGATCTTTGGTTGCCTTCTTCACAGCAAAGTCACTCAGCAGCCGGATGATGATTGCCCTCTGAAGCATCAGACCTTGTGGTTGCAGGTTTTCTGCAGCAATGACGACATTCCAAGGCAGCTGGACTTTGAGAAACATGGTTTATTACTTCCTAGTTCTTCTGCCATAGAATAAAATTATATCAGTACCTAGTTCAAATTTCAAAGGCACAAGTATTCTTCAACTTAAAAGTTTGCAGTAGATTATAATAATTAAACTGATGAATATCAAAATTTTGATCATGGGAAACTGGGGTCAGAATGTCACTAAAGTCAGTTTATACCAAGAAATCAGAGTTGTGACACTAACAACCATTCATATATAGATAAACATATAACTTTTCTAGTTTATAACTTCTCAAATACAGATACATATTCCTATTTACTACATATTATGATGCTAGCCACAACATTTTATAATTGATGCTCTTTAAATTCTCATACATATTTTATCCTGCAAGATGCAAAATCATATTTGATTAGCTTTAAATATATATTCTCAAAGACGATAACTTGTAACCACAACTACAGCTTCAATAATGAGGTATAATGGGTAGAGCATCTGCTGAAAAATGCCTAAAGTTGGTGGACTGAAATCCAAATAATATACAGTTGCTAGAAGCCCTTTTAGTGCAGAAATCACATTTTTTATGTAGATCAGTAAAGTTCAGGGACTAATTTAAATTTTTTTTCAATAATAAAGAAATACTTGGCACCATTTTAATACTTTTAGGACTAAGTTATTTTTATGGACCATTTAAGAAGGGAGAATAATCCTTTGAAGATCAACTGATGGTTTACTTAAAAATAAAATAAAAAATACACTATTCACAACACATACATGCAAAAGAGAGGACAGTTGACATGTCGCATGTCTCTTTTGATTGTTAATTACAATTTAACATATGCAAAGTTGAGAGTTAAGAAAACCTAAAGGGTGTTTTTTTTTTTTTTTTTTTTTTTTTTTTTTAACAACAATCAATAGCCAAGAAAAACAACTCAATCCATGCTCCCAATCTTTGTCATAAAATCCTAAAGAGGAAGAACACTAATTTGTTACAGTGCTACTGCAGGAGCAAGAAAGCAAAAGATATCAAGTTCCATTCTTTACTTCACACCTTAAACATGCATGGGTGCCTTTTCAGATAAACAGCTTAAGCAAAAAAAGGCAGAAATAGAGACACTAAGAATTAATTGACGCTATATCAGACCGAAAAATCTTAACATTAGATGTTCTACAACGAAGACCTAGAACAAAGTCAAAGCCCTCGGCACAGAATAACAAGTACCCTGCAAGATGTTCGCATAACCAAAAGCAAAAGGGATTGAGCCATTGGGGAAACCAAATCTCTAGAGATGATGCTTATTTGAAAGCAGAAAACATAGATACACAGGAAATATTGAAATATTGCATTGCAGCATAGCTGGAAGTATTACCTTAAGAAGGGTGGCAAGCCAGAAAAACACGAAAAAAGGGCCACCAGGGTTTAGTTCAGAGTATGAGTGCTGGTCTCTGTTTCTATGCGCTTCACACGTGTGTCAAGGAGAAAATATTTTATTTCCTTATATAATTAATATTCAAAAATAAAATGAATTAAATACTTAGTAAATTATTTAAATGACAAAAATATTCAATTTGGTTTCTGTATTTTTTTTCTATATGTGCATATCTTGTGCAGAAAATTGTGATAAATATCGAAATCAGAAAAAAAAATACTGATAACCTCTTCCATTTCTTTGTTACAATTTGTTTAACTGGTAAAAAAAATAGTGATATGAATTAAAAAACAATTTATTCTTTTTATCATATTCTTTGTATTTACGTTTTTAGAAATTAAACTACTTTTTATAAAAATATTAAAAAAATGAAATTAACTTCTTAAAAAGATAAAACTAATTTATAAATAAAATATATAAGTGGATTACTACTAGTTAATTCATATGTAGAAACTTAATTGATCAAAATATTAGTTTAAACAAAAAATATAAAAGAAACACGTGTTTCGTAGAAGCAATCAAGCGTTCAAAAAATGTGTAATTTTGTATAAGTAAGACAGATATACTCCTAGGGATTCATATCCAACAAAAATTGGAAAACAAATTTAATATATATATATATATATATATATATATATATATATATATATATATATATATATATATATATATTCACAACCTCACAAATTACTTCTTTAAGATATTTTTTATTTATTTATTTTATTTATTTATTTTAATTTAAATAATTTTTTCTATTCATTTTATTTTTTATAAATTATTATGAATTATGATTAACTTTATAAGTATTTATTAATATTTAATATAATTTAAATATTTATAACCATGTTATTTATTCTTTGATTTTTATGGAACGAGAGAAAATAATGAATTATTTTATATGAACATTTAAAAAAGTATTTTTGTTTTAAATAAAAAAAATAATGATTCAATTATTTTTAAAATAATATTATATATTATAATTTTTTAAAATAATTTTGTAATTTAATTTTTTTTATTGAGTGAGACAAAATAATTAATCATTTCATTTGGACATTAAAACATATTTTTTATTATTGTCTTAAATTAAAAAAATAATGATTCATTTATATTAATAATAAATTTATTATTATTTTATATAATTAATATATTTATATTTTATTTATCTTATAATATTTATAAGTATTGTGTTGGTTTTGATTATGACTACGTTTTATAAAAAATAAATTAATACGGAGTTTGTTCGGTGTATGAAATTCGGTGTCCCTCTGAATTTTGCATGTTCTTCGTCTCATCTCTCCACCCTTCATTTTGAATCTTCATTTGGTGGATCTCACGGGTATACTCTCATAACCCACAATTTCCTAGACGCAGATTTCTGTCATCCAACGCCGTGGTATCTGCTGTTGGGTTAACTGATAATTAAATATGATATTCATCCTAATGATCAAACATATATCTATAATCTCATACTATAAACATGTTATATAAACTAAATGCGAAAACGTACCTGAATTAGCCATAATGATGATATTCTTTGTAGAACACCTTTGAGTTGATCTTATGGTCTTCCACCTGAAGAACACCTGTATTTCCTTATGGATTTTCTCTCTTGATGGGGATAGAAAGAAAAGAACGAGACTGTATCTGTATTCTGTCTGTGTGCTCTCAGAAGGGGACCATGACCCTTTATATAACCAAAATTAGGTTAATTACTTAAGTTTTAGTATTTTCAATTTGGCCCCTCATCAAATTAAAAATTTACTCTATGGTCTCTACACAATCATATTTTCATGACATATGCCTTTAGCAAAAACTTTAATTTATTCAGATCACTTTATTATTTGGCTTAATAAATAATGACCCTAACACATTTAAATATGTATCATATATATACATGACCCAAATTTTGCCAACAATCTCCCACTGGTCACAAATATATATGTCCTTACAACCTTACAAATGTGTTAGACTTTATGAGCTCAAAATTGTCATTATATTCCTTTAGCATATTCCAAAAGTCCTGTCCATTAATCATATCAGGATATAGAACCAAACCAGCTTTTCATTGCATCATCGCAACTAAAACCAACAAGATTACTCATCCTGACATAACCAAATGACATGGATTCATCATGAAATGTGTAGCATGAAAAATTACGTGAAGGTGATCTGTACACGTCTATTTTCAACTGGTCCAAACTTTAACTTATCGAGATCGATATAATAACCTTAATGTACAAAGTGTAATGAATGAACAAAAAACTGCATATCTATAGATAACCAAATATGTCCAAAAAATCAATGTATACATATATAAAATTAAACATAGCACATAAAATATATGAAAATGACTAACTCTCACTAAACCACAAATTCCTCAAACTGTAAAACACCCATGTGAGCAACATGCTCATGAAAGACCTTGGGCGGAAGTCCTTTAGTTAGAGGATCTGCTATCATGGAGTTTGTCCCCAAATGTTCTATGGAAATCTGTCCACTTTGTACTCTTTCCTTAACAACTAGAAACTTAATGTCGATATGCTTTGACTTAGTCGAACTTCTGTTGTTGTTGGAATACAATACAGCTGATTTGTTGTCACAATATAACTTAAGTGGTCTTTCAATGCCTTTCACAATTTGCAGCCTCGTGACAAAATTTCTCGACCATATTCCATGATTCGACGCCTCATAGCATGCTACAAATTCTGTCGACATGGTGGATGAAGGCTGTAAGGGTTTGCTTGACACTGCGCCAAGAAACCGCACCACTCGCTAACATGAAAATGTAACCCGAAGTGGATTTCAAACTATCTTGACATCCTGCAAAGTCCGAGTCGGAAAACCCAGCGATCTCCAAGCTGGTCTGACCTCCTGTATGTGAGCATGTAATCTTTTGTTCTCTTTAGATATCTCATGACCCTTTTTGCTGCTTTCCAATGGTCCATTCCTGGATTGCTTAAATATCTGCCTAGAACCCCAACTATGTATGCTATGTCTGGACGCGTACATACTTGGGCATACATTAAACTCCCTACAGTGATGCATAGGGAATCTTTTCCATTTCCTCAATTTCCAAATTTCCCTTTGGGCATCGATTGAGACTAAACTTGTCTCCCTTAGCAACTGGAGTATCCCCGGATTTACATTCATACATGCCAAACCTTTTAAGAATTGTTTCGATATAGCTCCTTTGTGATAATCCCAAAATACCCCGACATCGATCTCGGTGTATCTGAATTCATAATACAAAAGACACATCACCAAGATCTTTCATTTCGAAATTCTTTGATAAAAATTTCTTGGTTTCGTGCAATATGCCTATATCATTAGTGGCAAGTAGAATGTCATCAACATACAAGATCGGGAAAATATACTTACTCCCCTTAAACTTGTGATATACACAATCATCAACAATATTCATCTCAAAGCCAAATGAGAGAATTACTTGATGAAATTTATAGTACCATTGACGAGATGCTTGTTTTAGTCCATAAATGGATTTTGTCGGTTTGCAAACCATACTCTTTGAATCTCCTCGCACAAAATTTTCTGGTTGCACCATATAAATCGTCTCATCAATGTTGCCATTAAGAAACGTCGTCT